GAGAGAGAGAGAGAATGAGAGTGAGAGAGAGTGAGAGAGAGAGAGGGAGGGGTGGGGAGATGAGAAGGAAATTAGTGTAGAAGGCTGACAAACAAGAAGGCTAATGCAAAGACATGTGAATGACTGAAATTCAACGTAGAATAGATAAGTACATGTACCGTAGGTTATTAATAACTTCAATTTCAGCGCATTCAAATTGGTCACCTGGGATGCACTCTTTGGAGAACCCATTTTGCTTTATTTGAAACTGCTGCGGGCGGTTCTGGTTCGAACCTTGAAAGAAATATTCTTGAATTTAGGTTATTGGAAGGTGTTTCACATCTTTCCTCCGTTTTCTCACACAAAGGAGATGAATCAGACAATCTCTCAAATACACGTATCCTTCTTTTTAAATGATTATGATTAGTTCCATACAAAACAAAATGAGAGGAAATAAAGTGAAGGGGAGAAAAGGCTACGGAGAAAAAAAGGGGCAAATGAAAGAATTGGGAAAGGAGGGAATTGGCGGAGGAAAAGGGGCAAGGAGGAATAAACGGGAAGACGTAGGGAGGAAACAGTCAATACAAAGCGTCTTCTTTTAGGTTAAATGATCGAAAGGGAGGGTGGGGCAGAGAGGAGCAAACGAGAGAAAGTGGGGAGGGTAGGAAGGGCCCATTTTAGGTAAAAGGACTAACATAGTATTATATGTCGTATTTTGGGAACACTAATGATTATAATAGAACCAAGTCATGATGCATATTATAAAGCTATTCGTTTAGTGTCCAAGGAAGCCAACATACACAATGCATTGCATTGTATAAATCGGTGCTGATCATCAATGCATCTCTTGTGAATGAAAGTTATGATTCAGGACCTGTCCCAGACACGTACCGGGTGAACCTTATCCATTAGAGAGCTTTACTTGTAGATCAAACGATGCGTTATAGGTTAGAGCCCAAGACTTGAGAGTAACCTATTTGTAATTCCCCTGACAAGACACACTGTTGGGTTATGCCAGAGAGACTATACCTATGGTGCTGAGAGCCATGTACACGAGCTGTTGTCATTGCAGTTAGTCCAACCCTTTACTTAGATCTGTTTACAACTTTTTATCATCTACGGTTCTCTCTCTCTCTTTCTCTCTCTCTCTCTCTCTCTCTCTCTCTCTCTCTCTCTCTCTCCCCCCTCTCTCTCTGTTCTCTCTCTCTCTGTTCTCTCTCCCTCTCTGTCTCTCTTTAACCCAGTCGCTCTCTTTCTCTTTCTCCTCTCTCTTTCTCTGTCTGTCTGCCTGTCGGTCTGTTTCTCTCTCTCTCTCTCTCTCTC